ACTGTATAAGTCTAGAAACTGCTGTTGAATATCTGTTTTTATAGATCGGATCAGATATAAATGGCGGCAATAAGATAAGAAACAAAAAAAAGTCAAAAGCCGAACAACAATAGACCAGCAGAACAATAGATCGATTTAACTATAGAACTATAGAACTACATAACAATAGATAACTAAAACAATAGCGCCATTCATGTATATATAGGTTATAGTATGTAGATAAGGTTTATTCTTCATTAAAGTCTGTCTGATGATCGCGTAAGCGTGAAACTCGGAGTAACAGCTAAAAGTGATGTTTTGTCTCTACAGACTACAATTTATATATATATATATATATGATCAGCAGTAACGTTATATCATTATATCAGATATTGTGTTACTTATAATATGATGGCTGCATATACGTGACTAGATGACCGATGTTTGCGGCATCCGATCTCTCTTGTTTCTTATAAATTCTTCATTTTCATATCTGGTACTCGATATATTTATATTCTCGATTTTGTATTTACAAAGTTTATACATTTTTCATTCACTTTAAACGTGTAACAAATGTCCTGTGATAATTTAGATAAATGGTCGAGAGATTTCATCACAATACATTTTTGTATCAATAGACAGGTAATTGTAACACATTGTGCAACAGAAGCAGGTTTATTAATACCCGTCGACAATAAAATATGGACATATATATATGGTTGCACTACCATTACTTAATAAATTCAGGAGTGTATCAAAACAGGAGTGTATCATTTTGATACACTCCTGATAAATTCTAGCAATTTACTCCTGGCCCACGTTGCTGTGGCCGCCATTGCATTACGCATTGAAATATATGTAATGCAGTGATGACTATACAGTAATAGGAGGAACTTCACACCAAGTCGACTCGATTCGGGATATTTTTGGTTAGGTTTAAACAGTGGCAGAAGATCGTGAGTCTAAGTTGTAATACCTTTTAACGTGAGGTGTCGTGTATAATGTCATGACATTTCGGTCTCATGGTGTCATAACTATTTATGATGTTTCTGAAGGCTGCTCGTTTCCAAAAGCGCACACGTGAACGTGAGTTAATTGACTCGCAGGCCAAGACAAGCTGCGTCGTATACACCGGGGAATGTGGATCTACTTGAGACAGCTAATACCTATGACCGAACTGATTAAACCGATTTGATGCCGCCTCCCCGAGGGAGCGCAGATGTTGTGATTCTCACTCGAGTCCGCCGTGCGGCGGCGTAAAGGAGCAGACGACTTGTTCTGATCTATCCACACTGTTAGAAATTGTTATAATATATATATATATTATATATATAATATATATATAATATATATATATTATTATTATTATTGTAAGAGAGCGGCGCAGGTTCGGTGCGTGAAAACAGCTTTTCAATACCTTTTCGTAGAACGACAGCGTTGTTTTACAATTGGTTTTTAGCCAAGAGCTGCTGCTACTGAGCTATAATTGTTGAAACCTTTATTGATCACAGATAAGATCAACAACTCATTATATACTGCGCGTAGAATTCTCACGTCTGCCTCTCTTGTACCGCAGTGACCAAACAATGATCTTAGTAACGGGATAACAACTTCAATTTCAATAATGTTTTAACCAGCATTTTGTCAGGTTACCTAGTTGCGCTCCTAGTGAATTAGCAAGTGCTTCCTTTATGTGATCCTTTCAATGCCATGACACACAGTGGCAGATCTAAGGGCTATTGTAGGATGGACTGGTCTACGTCTTTGACTTACGAGGCGCGGAGGGTTTTGCCGGTGAAGGAAGCTCAGAAAATTTTTAAGCTCAAGAAATACGTTTGCCCATTTTCACAATCGATTTACTTACTCAAGAGTCAATCAAGCATGTGAAGGTTAGTAAACGAGGTTGAAAGACGAATTTTAACAAAATAAAATCCACCCACCCTGACCTCTGCTGTACACAGGCACTTCTACCACGTAGGCCTCCAAGATCAGTGATCACTACTTTAAACAGTCTACCTAAGCATTGCGGTCACGTGATCTATTCCCTTAGAGCCCATCAACATCAAGTGAGGCACCAAAATAAATCTCTCTTATTACGCGAATTTCTCGCCGAACGCCCAAATCAAATTTCAACCGATCATCTAGTGTTACATAGACTGGCCCCATTTCGTTCTGCTCCGGCAGGCTAAATCTGTCGCAGCGACGGGCAAATCCGTCTAATGATTAAATTCGCGGCTCGTAATGGAAGGAAGCAGAGCACCGTACGTGTGTACTTTCGTGTTTAATTTCCTGTTTAGGTGAGCTAATAAAATAGCAGATGACAATGTGTTCAAAGGTCAATGACATCAGGTTCCTACAGCGTAGACACAAAGCTATCTCTATGTGATGTCAGCTGTACAGAGTGCACCGGGGGCGACCAACCATCCACAGGTGCAGAACTACATACCCGTCTTCTGCCCCAACAAAAAACATTGTATCATACTTTCGAAGAAGGTTATAACATGGTGTCAAGGTTAAGATATCGAGGGTAAGATATCGTACATGGTAGAGATGAAAACGTGACATTAAACATTTATTTGCTTATAGTCGTACGATAAAATCTGCTTAGTCTGGTTGCGTTAGAAACTCATTCAGCTCTGCGACTCATCCTTGCTTTTAAACCTATTCTTGGAAATACAGCCACAGATTCTCAACCCGGCTTAATACCCGGCCTGTCTATGGAATTACATTATAATTCATTTAAGCAGAATTAAACGCATATGACACCAGCGTGAGTAAAATGTCCGGTGAATGTAGACCAATCAGTTGTGCGATAGAAATTTGTATAATCTGACGCTAACCGAGAATAGCGTAAGATTATTAAAAAAAATTCTAGGACAATTTATTGGTCAACTGTGAATGTGGCAATCTATGCTAGGTCCGCGGACCTTTAGTTGCATGTTAATGTGTTGTTTGTCTATTCGAAGGACATCCCTTCCATGGAATAGTAACATAGGTATATCATTCCCACAATGAGTCGCAGAGCAAGGTGAATACAAAACGCGACTACTGACCACGCATCTTCATTGGATCGCTGTCGATAAGTCACTGGTAATCGTGCGTGAAGCAAGTGAACGCGATCAATCTCGCATCCTTACCCGTCCGGTCGCCCCTCGTGCGTATATATGTGTCTCCCGCTACGTGGCGTCGACTGCATTTTCTCAGAGCACGTATATCATATCAGGGGCGTAGCTGTTCAACGATGTGCTGGCAGAACTGAAAAGCAGGCGGAGGGTATGGGGGTCCTCCCCCAGAAAATTTTGAAAATGTAGACCGCAGGAGATGGTATTTGAGGTACTTTTGAGTACATATGATGACACGTGATATATATCACGTATATCATATACATATCATATACATATCATATACATATCATATATACATCATGATAAACGTGCTCTGGTTTTCTCCCGCCCGCGCGCGCATGCACTACTACCGCGCCCCCTGACGTCGATCTCTGCTCACTGTTGCTGCTCACATCACGCGACACGACGAGCCGGCCTTGCTCTTCGCCTTGCGCAGATTCTGATGGCTGCCCTTCGTATATGATACCTGATCCTCGGACACGCTGTCCACGTACGTTGCTCCCATCGGACCCAACGCGCCCATCGCTCCGTACCCGTGCAGATTCAGCGGGTGCGACGGATGCGGGTGCACGTGCGGGTTGATGAGGGGATGCATGAGCAGCGGCATGGCGCTAAATGGTGACGGTGCCGAGCGGCGCTTCTGCACCTGCCACGGGTTCGGCTCGGGCGTGCCGTAGTCGCGCTCGATCTGCCGCTGCAGTAGCGTCAGCATCGCGTTCGTTCCCCGCCGCTCCCTGAAGTCCACCGGCATGAAGCCTCGCTGCATGAAGCACACAACGACGCCGGTAATGCAATGATAGACGATGTCGGTATGAAATAGAAACTATGTGCGGGACGCGCATTGCATGGCGCGGACGCAACCTCGCTGTGTAAGCAAGCGGCGGCACAGTTAATATAACGAAAGCAGGAGGAGTGTCATAATATAGACCATGTGTGTATATATTATGACACTCCTCATGAAAGACGATGTCAATATAAAGTGGGAACAGCACGTGGGACGCGCATTGCATGGCGTGCGCGTAACCTCGCTGTGGAAGCAAGCGACGACACAGTTAATGTAATGACAGACGATATCAATATAAAGTTGGAACAGCACGTGAGATGCGCTTTGCATGGCGTGTGTGTCAGCTAATAAACAGCCATGCGTGGAACGTGTACCACGCGAACATGCCGATGATTGAACAACATGAGCTAACGCATGAACATTCGCTGCGGGAGCGAGCAATGTCGAGTACAGTGGGAACAGCGCGTGTAACATGCACCGTAGAAAAAAGATATCGATTCATTCCGCACCAGAATTCCCGTCGTCCTCAGACAGAATTTCGATAATCGCATCGAACCAAATACAATGTCATATATAACACGTAGATAAAATACGTGTAAAACGATAGCTACAATTATATATATATATTTATATATATTTATTATATATATATATACTTATTGCTGCGCACGCATACGCACTGCACCCACAAACAACACACACGCGCGCACACGCACACACACACACACACACACACACACACACACACACACACACACACACACACACACACACACACACATACACATACACACACACAGTGACACACACGCACACTCACACGCACACGCCCAGACGTACATATACTAGTACATTAATGACGCGAATAAACTTAGCCATGAAAAACGATCATCCATCTCACTATTTTTTCATACGCGCTGCACACACCGATACTGTGGGCGATTTGATGCACCCTCAAGTAAGCTCGACTAGCACTTATCCTTCTCACCTTATCTACGATGTACTCGCAGGCACCCTGCTCCGAGAGAAGGTACTCTATGTGCTTGACTCCCTCCATCGCGCATGCGTAGTGCAACGCCGTGCGTCCAGTCTGCAATATGCGTACATTCCCGCGTGATTTTAATTACAAGTAATTAATTGTGACGTCTTTGCTAGCACTGTGTAGTACGTAGCCCTGTGCTTCGACAAAACCGTGCGGAATATCAGGTCACCGTAATCAAAAACAATATAAATACTTACAAGTTACAACTGTCATGAGTCTAAACTATCGTAATTCTGGCACAACACTTCGTGTGCGTAGCCTACATGTTTAAACTTGCGACGTCATACCTATTTGTTATTTTTCTGACAAGGGGCCCCAGGGACGCATAGGTAGAAAAATACGTCGTTCCTGATACGAGACGTGCGTGTACGTGGTTCACTAGCGTAGCAACCGACTCACTAGAGGGCACTAAGTCTTGTACTACGACGACGATGACGATTGTATTAAAGATTACTTTGTTCTCAGTGCGCGAGCGGAATGCGACGGGAGATCGCGTGAATTACCCGCCGGGTGGTGCTGATGTGATCGTCGGTAAATCTCATTCGAATACGAGAACATTGCGTGAAAACACGTAATTTGTCGCTGACGCTGTAAAACCACATTAGGGCTATGTGATCAAGGTTAGGATAAGATCTTCTCGCATACTAGGTATGAGATATCCCCGAGATAGCCACCGAGATAAATCCTCGGGATAACTTGCAGACCCCGAGATGGGTTTATCTCGCACTACTTTTTAATCCAATGATTTTTCTTAATTGCAAGGTCAAAGGTCACCTTTACAGTTTTTATACAGTTTACAATACTCATAAAATTAATTAATAAAAAAAATAAAATATAAATATGCGAGAAAAAGGTTCTATCACAGTATGAGCTTGAGATTGGAAATATCTCACTCTCATTATAGATAACCACGTCTCATACTCGCTACGCTCGTACGAGACGGGATATCTATAACTCGGGTGAGATATCCCATCTCAAGCTCATACTGTGATAGGACCTATTACTCTTCCTCGTAAAGACTGATCACGTGACGTTTCCTGACTCGATGGAATTTAGTGACGGCAGCGAGCAGGGCGAAGCTGCGGCGCCATAACGATTCGTGATGCATGGCACCCGCAGCCAATGAGCATGATCTCTTCATAATCATACGTATCAATCATGGCCGTTTCCTACGAGGGAGGGAATCACTATTATGCGTGCCAGTCTCAGCGATATATCACGACGATTTCCAACTACACATTGCCTCACTGCGAACACTGCACACGGTCATTGTGTCGGGCGGCTTACGCATGAATCAATTTAGGGTAGCTGACTTGATGACCACAACGTATTTCACTATAACAGATAATGTAATTCATAGAACTATAATGAACTAATATGTCATCGACAATAGAGTCGTTTTAATTGATGTCGTCGAGTTAACTGACTCCGTACGCCGTTGTTGGCACAAAGCTAACTATTGCGGCACGAAGGGTCGTTGTCATATCAGGTAGGTACCCGAGGTAGTTTTAGGTTGTTTAGTATTATGTTTATATTTTTATATGAGGTATGTTTAGGGTTAGAGTTAGGGTACACTTCTGTAGTACAAGTCTGGTACACTTTGTGTATACCTCGGGTACATATATGTAGTACCTGATACGACAACGACCCCTTCAGCACTATTGCGGGAGCAGCAACGGGGAATTATGGAGTCAGTTTAGTGATCGATGCCATACTCACAAGGTCCCTGACTTCGTCTACATGTAGGTGTTCGTCTTTATGGAAGATCATGTATTCTACGATTTCGTACTGCCTGTTAAGGACGGCGGCGTGTAACAAAGGTAGGCCGTCCCCCTGAAACGTAAATCACAAACACTGGTGTGGCAATCGCTCAAATTCACACATGTGTGTACGCGCGCGCGCGCGTGTGTGCGTGTGTGTGTGTGTGTGTGCGTGTGTGTGTGTGGTGTGTGTTGTGTGTGTGGGAGGTGCGTGGTGTGTTGTCGTGTGCGGTGTGGTGCGGTGCCGTGCGTGCGGGCGGGTGCGTGAGTGTGCGTGCCTGCGCGCCTGCGTGCATGCGCGTGTGTATGTCTGTTTGCCAGTGGGCGCGCTGCCCTTGTTGTGTGTGTATGTCTGTTTGCGTGCGCGTGCATCTCTGTGGTGTGTATGTCTGTTTGCGTGCGCGTGCCCTTGTGTGTGTATGTCTGTTTGCGTGCGCGTGCCCTTGTGTGTGTACGTGTGCCGTATGCGTGTATGTGTGCTAACAAGTACGGATACGACAGTATCCTTTAATATTTGCTGATTCCCGCTGTCTCTGCCATAGTTTGCAATAAGACTTATTTGGAATAATGCGTTATAGGTATTATATGCAGTGAGTCAGCGAACCTTTCGCATTACATCGCGCAGCGGGGTTCTTAACTACGAACGTGTAATTGATTCCAAAATGACCTGATTGTTCAGAAATCGAAATGGAACTGCCCAAGCCTGGTGGAGCTTGTTCGTAAATGCGATAGTAATGTATATAATGGAGTGCCGTTCGGAATTTCAATTTTGCGCATGTTCGTAACTCGGGAACCTCCCGTATAATATTTATTATTGTAATATATTATTATACAGTACACGCTGACACGCGACCACGCGCGCCCGCTTACGAAGACAGACATACACACACGCATGCACGCAGGCGCGCACGTACACGGTCACATACGTTCAACAACATGCATTAAAATACGTGTAATGGAATAACAGATTTTTTCGTACTTACCCTCCTCCTGGCTAATAATGAGACATCACAAAACTGCTGTTTGAACTTTATCGTATCACCTCTTTGTAGAAACAGCGCCAACCTCGCGATTCGTTCCTGATTAAAAAGACAGAGTGGAAGCAATTAGTTTATAATTACCGAGAAGAAATGGAATGTCGCCTAATAACTCTATCACCGCGAACACCTAAGCCAATTTAATCGATCCTTCTCTCGTAAGCGACGAAACGCAAGACTAAATTAAATAAATTCGGACGATACTAAGAGAAATGTGAATGTACGGGTGCAGTGATGAGTATTCCCACCTGAACCTTGTCGATTTCCTCTAAATACTTTTGTACATCTGGGCTGCTCTTGGCAAAATCCTCTACGCTGACTCCCTCCTGTGAAATTAATTTAATTCGGTCGTTTTTACAATGGTAAGAGACGAGGAACAAGTCTAGCAATCCTGTCTGTTGTAACAAGGCGTGCTCCGATTGGTGCATGTATACTATGTGAGATTAACCCAAGAGCACTTCCCATGCTCGGTAGTTTTTTATTAGTGTGATCCCAGGGCCCGTTCAGAATCAGAAACATCGTCAATATAGTTATTACTTTCATTAGTCTAGGATGTCATAACGTTTGCACAACACTTCATGTGCAAAGGTTATGCTGTCACGGTTACATTATGCCCTTTCTGTCAACGGGCTTCAGGACATGCCCTCTTCGCAACTTTTAAAGATCGCTATAAGCTGATTCTCGCTATACTAACCATTTGCGACAACGCGCGACATACTACGAGATCAAGTAGATCAAGAGATACTACGCAAATTAAATTTCAATAAGTATCTTCACGAATAGTGATATTATGGGGGTATAATAAGGAGTGTATGAATAGAATAGAAACTATTCATGAACATCTGGTACTAAAACATCCGTTGTTAATATTACGATATTATATGTATATGTAGTTTATATTCTTATGTTATATGTATAGAGGGGGGGGACGAGGAGTAGTTTCCCAGATAAGAAAATATGTCATTTTTTCAGTTCCCGGTTAGGTAAAATCGCGTAAACTTCAGCTTTCCCGCCTCCCGGTTGACATGACTTCTCTTACCCAATCACGAAAAATTATCCAGTTTCCCCGCTTCCCAGGTAATTAGTATGATCCCATCGATATTAGTATCTCCACCCCCCGATATGTAGTAGCGTTTACCATCGAGGTGGCGTGTCGTATGTGATTGTAGCCGAGCATCGGGAGCTGGGACCGCTTGCCTGGGTGCTTGGTCGGCTGCGTGACCCAGTCGTAGACGAGATTATCGATGACGTGGATGTACTGCGACTTGCCCTGCTTCTCGCTGTAGTCACGAGGAGTCAGATTCGCCTGCTCGCAGGTGCAATCGACGTATGAATGAAGTAACAAATGAAAGTAATGCTAGTTTGTAATATAGAATAATAAATAAATGAAAGATTATTGAAATGAAATAATGCGATCGAAATTTGGCCGCGGGGCGTCGCTGCACCTCCACCCCGCTAACTATAGCTCTACTTACCTGACTCCTATCGCACAGCAGGGACGGACCGCCGCAGCTGAGCAACTCTTGGCATATGGGCAGACTAACATCATTGTCGATGGCTGCCATCATGCAGTTATGCCCCTGAAAGGCAGCCGATTTTACGCGGTAAGACAAGCAGTGCGAAAAAATACTACTAGAAAACTAAGCAAGGCGGTAAAAATTATCATGAATTATTATAATTAAAATGCTAATTAGCTGATAATGTGCTTGGTTAATAATAAATCAATTGATTTATTATTAATAGGTTCAGCTTTTCGGCCTAAATCAGGACAAAAACCTTTAATTTTGGGCAAATCATATTTATATTGAATTACAGATTATCAATGAGATCATATACGATTGTTTATGATCGAGTTTCAACGCGTAATAAACTGATAGTGATAACTAATAAAGCAAGCAATTAAAATTGTTGGCGTTGCATTTTGAGTTATTACTTATTGCAGCGTATGAACCCGACAGCTCAGATAATGTCATTAAAAATAAAATGTATAATTGCAAATTATCAGACTTTTTGGCGTGTGTGGCCAGCGAATATATCTCTTTAAACAGCAGTTTAAATTGGCTTCATCATTAACTGCTATTATATTTAGCAAATCATTATAGCGCATATAATGTCATGATTTGATTTGCCTGTTAAACTAAACATCGCGTCGAGGTGGAAGTAAATTAATACGACGCGCTTCGGAGAACAATTATTGTAGTCGGTAAGCAGTGACTGTGCGGCAGACCGGAATTGCTTAGAGCTTAAGACAATGGCGGACGAGCCTTCCAGAATTAAATTACTATCATAACATCACCTAGCAGGCGCGAACGAAACAAGCTGGCGCGGGCTGATCTGCCGGTATTCAGGGATGAAGCGGAATATAATCGATTATAATGATTTTGAATAATGAAATAAACGTTGATGTTTCCTGAAATAGGTAAGCTCAATCAGAAATGACGTATTTTACATGCGGAAAATATGCAATGCAGTGTGCTTCGTTGTGCAAATATATTCCAGAGAAACTACGCGCACTACAGGGAGAAGAAGAATACGAAGAAAAAAACGGAGAAGGAGAATAATAATAATAAGAAGAAGAAGAAGAAGAAGAAGAAGAAGAAGAAGAAGAAGCAAAAGAAGACGACGACGACGATGACGACGAAGACGAAGCAGATGAAGAAGAAGAAGAAAAAGAAGTACCTTGTAGTACAGCGTGTGTAGATATGCTATATGCTCACAGACTACTCTCACAACCTCTCTTGATAGACTTGGATGATTGAAAATGGCAGCCAGTATCATGGAAATGTCAACCTACAATTACACATCAGAACATCTTTAAAACCGCCTGCCATCTTACAGATTAGACGATCGGCTGTCCTTGGCAAAAGGTCGTAATTTGTCTTCCTTATGAAATCACCATGTCAGATCTGAACTCCATTTATTTCCCCTACCGTACCATTCCCCAACCACTAAATTTCTTACTAACATGTCGTGCCAGCTTTCTATTTTTAGTGCTGCCAGTTACTATATGCATTGATATATCGTTAGTAGGCTTTTATCATTAAGCAATGAATAGTGTATTTCGGTTTATACGCGCACGTGGTTCATGTAGAATCCTCCAATCATCCTGCCCGAAACAGAAATGCCATAGTATATCAAACTATAATATATATATATAATACAAAATTAATATATAATACAAAAATATATATAACGCCGACACGTCACTCCTACGTCACCGACGCGTGACGTCACCGATGCGCTCTCACCCCGTGTGAATCCTCCATGGTGACGTCTGCTTTGACTCTGTTAGCTAGCAGCTCCTTCACTATGGCGAGGTTGTCTGACCGCACAGCGTAGTACAGGATCGAGGCTCCGTGATCACCCTGTAAAATAATTACAGTCGATCTACTCGTGGTGCTTTAGGCACTACGGTGTGGTCATTGCTATTGCGGTGAATATCCTACTTGCAGAAGCCCTACAGCGCGTGAAGCTACGGACGCGTCTGCGACACGGCAATGCTTTACGTATAGCCTGTCGCATGATATTCATTCCATGCACACGTATTTATATAGGCTGACGCTGTGGGCTGACGCTGCTGCAAGAGAAGCCGGAAATTCGATCGATTGCGCGGCTGTGATACTACAATGTTTGTTATGTTTAAAAAACATCGCTTTTCTTTGTTCCTTTCGCGTCTCGCCCACGCCGGTATAGTGGAGTGGGAGAGCAACAGCAGGCCCGCATCCCTTCGCATCCTGAGAGATGGCAAAACCCAGTGCTCCCTGATTACAAGGTTTGTCAACACAACATTGTCTGTAGTTTTAGAGACGACGACCGATGCAAGCCATTATTCGCTGAACGAGTTTGCACTATCGACAGCCGCCCTACAGCCGGTCAATAAAATCCACTTCAATTACACAGGCTTTTTGAGAAAAACGAACACGTCAAAAACGTCAAGCGACGATGTACTAGAACCGCAAACATGTCACGCGGCGCAAAACACACGAAGATGCTGATAGCGTTGTTCATTCTCACCCCACCCCCTCTCTCTCTCTCGCGCGCTCTCTCTCTCGCTCTCTCGCTCTCTCTCTCTCTCTCTCTCTCTCTCTCTCG